GGCATACGGGCTCCTGGCAGTTATCATGTATTTGTCCGCCACCATCCTCTGGCCTGTGTTCCAGTTTAACAAGAGTTACGGGAGAAACGATGACCCAGAAACAATCACTGCATCTGTAATCACTGCCATCAATTTACTGCTTTATGTTGCTGACCTAGTCTACAGTGCCACATTAGTGTTTGTCAGTGGCTGAGAAGAGGAGAGATGTAGCGCTAATTTTGACACCCCCCCTCCCCCCCGCCCCCCCTCCTAATTTAAAAATCCTGAAACGTTTTTAAAATATTTAAAATCCTACAAAGGGATCCCATATTTGCAAAGCCTGTTTTGCCTGTGAGTATGTATTTATTTGAATGTGATCAAATAGTTGCCATGCAGCATTTAACCTCTAATGTGAAATGATGGGCGAAGGACACTGTCTCAGCTGAACTCTGGACACACACACACACACATACACTGATACGCACTCCTCCCTCCTCCCTTTCCAAACGCCTTCGATGCTTGTCTCCACCTGGAGAACACGGTGGGTCTGGGCCCAGCGCTGGAAAAAATTCTGTAAAAAAATGTTTCGGATTACTCCTCACCCTCTACCCTCCCCTGTTGCTTGTCACGTGCTCCATAATGTTGTGCTGTGGACATTTATGTGCTTTCTGTGTAGAGGAGTTTTTTTGTTTTCTGTTCTCATGCTGTCCTCCCATAGGAGCACAGCATGAGTAGAGGTCTCTTTTTTCCCCTCTTGGACTTTCCCATTGTATTGTACATTTCAGTGTTTTCCGTAATACTACCGGTTTCCGACCTGTCTCCCCATGTGATGTCTGTGTTGTGTATGTAATGTCGGGGGGTCCCATTTCACTGCAGGGCAACTTGCATGTGACAAATAAAGTTTTCTTGAATCTTGATGTGTGCAACACAACTCTTACATCAGCTATCAAAGTGTGAGATTTCACACAATGAAATACATTATGTATCATGATAAAGTACATTATATACTATTAAAGCCAATAAAGTCAGCACACTGGAGCACAGCGGGGTGGCAAAATTGGGCACTTGCATTTCAACACGCTCTAACTGAAAGATCATCATCTTGTAATCTTTTGTTAACAGTGCTTTAAAGTCATATCAGTATCAATATCATTATAATACCAACAAAGTGCGCTGATATTTGTATTAGTTAAAGAAATTAAGCTTTTATCATAAAACAAATATCTCAGACTTTTTACTCACTTGGAAATGGAATGAATAAGTGAGATGAGCTGTCAAAGATGACAGTATCGATAATTAGTTATACTTAGTCATAAAACGTACTTTTAATTCAAATAATTAATTCAAATAAGGATATACATTCTGAGTCATGTATTTTCACCCTTTGAATAATTGCTACAATGAATACAAGAACTTTCATTTCATTGGAAATCTATACGTCTTTTTAAATACCCAACACTGATACATGAATCACTTGAGAGGAGACCTTGCGGAGTGGAAGGCACCATTCAGAACTTTATGCAAAGTTTTGATTTTTTTTAAGTAGTGAAATTTGTTAATATTTATTGTTTACACTGTTGGTCTCTGCAATATTGTTGTGTTAAAGCAATTACAGCAGTTTCCAGAAGAGGTTAATCAGTGTTTTGGTGAATAAGTGTGGCAGCTATTTTCATGCCTGTAAAACAAAATCTTGAAAGAAACTTTAAAGGATCCAGGTCCAGGTGGCGGAGCAACCTGAATAAACGGGAAGTACATTGCAAGCAAATAAAGAAGCAGGTATGTCAATGTGATACAGAAAGGAGGGCTGACAGAAATACAACAAAAAATTATTGAATTATGCAGAAGCAGGGATCAGACGATTTAGGTTTTTGTGCCTTTGGGGACATTTTGACAGGCACTACAAAAAACTCCACTATTGTGACACTGGGAGAGAACTATTAAAAATGGAAATTATTTTAATAAAAGGAAGATCAGAAAAGGTTAACATTTCAAGGTGGCTTTACAGGATGTAATGCAGCAGAAACATCACAGAAAAAAGTGCAAAGAATAAAGTCCAAACTGGTGTAAATGTGATTAAGCCTTTAGGGAGACAGACATTTAGAAAAGAAGAATTTACCCATTTTAACATTTGTATGTTTGTGTTATTTCATAGTTGATTATAGTTTCTTTTTTTGGTTTTCTGAAATTAATGATGTAGTAGCAAGGTGAATAAAACTAATATTAACATGAAAACGTAAAATCTGACTTAATATTAGACACGTGCTTCTTCTATCCTTTAATATTCAGCATGTTTCTGCACAAAACATGTGTCTTACCTGCAACCAGTCAGGTGTAGCTATATACTGTACTTTCTACCTAAATTACACATTAC